TAGTGGTGATGCCGCTGAGGTGAACTTTGGGCCTGAGTGCCTTGACTCCTGACCTATTGGAATGTCCCTTGTTCATGGAGGAGGATTGACTGCACCATGGGGCCAAAAATAAGAAATGCCCCTCCATCCTGTGACCCTGGTACTGGTTCTTTCTCCTTCACTCATGGCCCCAAAGTTTCCCCCATATCCCCTCACGGCTGCCATCAGAACCCAATGGAGACAGAATTGAAGAGACTGGGCCTTCCCTACCACCCTGACATCGCTGGACCTGCTGCCCATGGTGCCCCCCTCTCCAGTCCTAGGCAACTTGTCCCTGAGGGCCCCATCAGAGAGTCAGGAGAACCCGCTCTGGAGGCTGAGCTCAGAAGACAGACAGTGCAGAGGAGCGAGGCCCAGAAGGACAGACTGGGGAAGCCTCCTGCCTGGTCTGGTTACACAGAGCAAGAGTGGGCAGGTGAGATGGGCCAGACAGCAAGGTGCAGGCAGCAGACCCCATGGGATCAGCTCCCAGCCCCAGCCAGGACAGAAAGGAGAGAAAATTGAGCCCAATTTGATCCCAGAGCCCGAAGAGGAGGGAGAAGGGGAGACTCACCTAAGACGGTCAGCTTGGTCCCTCCGCCGAACACATAACACAGTGATACATCCTCATACAGAAACCCTCCTGTCAGTCTCCCCGGTCCTCTGACCACGCTGTGTGCACCCCTCCCACCCCAGGTCCACATGCAGCTGCCTAGGAGCACAAAACCCAGCCTCCTCTCATGGGCTGGTGGGCCCCGACCCCACCTGCAGCTTCAGCCCTTGGGGAGTGGGTCCATCTAGTCCCATTGGGGATGGGGCTGGAGTGAATTCTGGGTCACATCATTTCTATGGTGACTACAACCCCACTAAGGGCTTGGATGGAAGTTGTCAATTATCCCAGGAAGTTGTCAATTATCCTAGGAAGTATACTTGCCAAAATGTCACCCCCTGAATCCTGTGAATCTTTCTATTCCAAAACCACTTTGTAAGAAAGCCAGAACAGAGAGTAGCTTGTCATATAGCTCAGGAAGCCCTGTGCTGTAGCCTGATCTTAGCACAGTCCCTGCACCACAGCTCAGCTCCTTCGGCCACTTCCTTTCACGAGATTCTCGAGCCATTTGGGACACACTTACAGACACAACAGGCCCAAAGACACACAAAAATCACAGCTTCAGATCTAATTTAATTCTCATAAAGGAAACAGTAAACCACAAAAAATTACAACAGCACCAAGAATACATCCAAGTAAATACACTTATGATCTTTATGAGGCATTTGATAAAAACTGACCATTTTTGATATTAAGGAATTGGATTTTTTTCTGTTTGGGTCTGATAATGGTGTGGTCTTATGTTTCAGGCTACTAATGGAACATTTACCGATAAAAAGATATGATATCTGAATTTATTTTCAAATGTTGCAAAAGGGAGGAGATTCTGCTGTGGGTATGCCAGCATCACCATCATTTTGGGAGACATTGACTATGTGAGAATATGAGAATCATTTTTTTCACCTGCCAAATTATTTTTGTGCTCAAAGTTTTCCACAACACAAACTTACACAAAAGTAAATGAGAGATTCATCTTGGCAAAGCAGAAAGCATGAAGTTGGAGTCTGATTTCTATCTAGCGGGGCTAGTGAGATGAGGGACACCTGCATGGTCTCCTCCCCAGGGGACCTCAACATTCACATCGTGATTGGGGACATGGAGGAGATGGAACCTAGAACCTCTACTTTTCCCTCTAAATTAGAGGTTGAGCTTTGGGGCTGGGGTTATCTGAATCAAGCCTTAGGCGGTCCCTGTCCTTTGTGTCATTGTGGCCCCAGAGCATCCTGTGTGTGGCACACTAGTTGGCTCCTGGGGCACTCAGGAGCTCTGGTGAAAGCAGCTCTGAGATTCTGAGTAGCTGGAGGCACACACAGGGCGAGACTCTATTTGCTCACAGAATTGCCTGAGCCTGCACGTTGGGCGGGGCTGACAATGCCTGCAGGCAGGAAGCAGGGAGTGAGGAGTGGCTGACACCTGGCTGCAAGCCCTGTGAGTTAGGGGAGAGGACTTTCTTAAGCAGGAGTCCTGGAGTTCTGAGTCTGTTGGAAATCAACCTTGCCCTCAAGTCAAACTCACCTGCTTGAGCTATTCTGATTTGCCCTCATACTCTACTCCTGAATTCCTGCTTCCTCCATTCTTTGGACACCACTGGTACCCTTTCTTGCCTGGGTTAGTGTCCTGTCTCATTAACCTGGTTCTTTCATGTCTTCCCTCATGCTAGCTGACCTCGCCAGGACCATCCATAATCCAACCATAAACTCTTTCCCTGAGAGACACTCCTTATGACTGAGGTGCTAACCCTGGACAGGTCGCCCAGGGTCCAGTCTGACCAGACCAAACAGAACATAGACTCAACATCCTTGTTCTCAGCCTCAGCTCACATGCCCAGGCCCAGTGATCAGAAACACTAGTGTCCCAAATAGGGCTCCCTGGGTGGGTGGGGAGCATCAAGCAGCCTGGGGATTGTTGGGCTCTGTGAGATCACCCTGCGTCCTGCTGCAGGACGTGGCAGTGTGTGTGCTCCGCTGGGTGTACTGTGAGGCCTGAGGACCGTCCTTGCATTTTGCATTGTTCACAGCTTCCCATGGCTCTGGGAATGTAGGCGCAGGGGCCCATTCACCTGTATCACTGTCCCACTGGGCCCGGATGGAGGAGTTTCAACCTCAGACAATGACCTTGATGTTCCCCCCACGGTCTAGCTCTAGCTGTCTCCAGATGCCCTGCTCACTTCCCCTGATTCTCTCTCACTTGGGCCTTCAACCTTCCCAGGGGGGTAGCACTGCATCTGGGGGCTTTGAGGAAGGACAATTTCTTGCTCTGGGTGCCGGGTCCCCGTGCCCACGGAGCTCACCGGCGCCTGCTGGGGTGTCTGGGGGTGATGGGCAGGTGGAATCTCAGTCCTTGTTGTCTGATGTTCATTACAGACCCTTTACCCCAGAGACATGACCAGACACAGCTGCACGTTGGATGAGAAATGGTGAAGTCTTTATTGAGGAGCAGTAGTAACTGTGAGGGAGGGGAACTACTGGCCTGAGCACAAGGTGGGGGGCTCAGAGGTCCAGCAGAGAACTGGGGCAAGGGTATGTGGGTGAGGAGGATCCCCCAAGGATGGGGGAGGCTGAGGGGCCTAAGAGCAGGCTTTGGTGTCCACTGTCTTCTCCACGGTGCTGCCCTCGTGCGTGACCTGGCAGGTGACACTCTGGTGGCTTTTCCACTGGCTGGAGGTCAGGCTCAGGTAGCTGCTGGCCGCATACTTGCTGTTGCTCTGCTTGGAGGGCTTGGTGGTCTCCACGCCCTGGCTGATGGTCTTTCCGTCCGCCTTCCAGGCCACGGTCACCGCGCCGGGGTAGAAGTCATTGACCAGACACACCAAGGTGGCCTTGTTGGTGCTGAGCTCCTCAGAGGAGGGCGGGAACAGAGTGACGGAGGGTGCGCTCTTGGGCTGACCTGTTTGGATAGAGAAGGGAATTTTAGATGTAGGGGAGAGTCCAGGACATTGGGTCACCCCACCCAGACTTTTATAGCCTCTGTAATGTTTCCTTTTTTAACCCAGGGACCCTCCACTCCAACCCCTGCATAGGTCCCACTTTCCCAGAAGACCTACAAATCACTTTTCTGGGGTGAACACCTGGTCAACTACCCCATCTGCAGCCTCTGTGCCCCCGTGTGAGTCCTGGCAATGCTGTCCTCTCTCCTTCTGGTCTCTAAGTTTTTGTTTGGAATCTGGCCCCAACCTCCTAAGCCCGTAGCCCTGGCATCAGGCTCCATCTCACTCCACTCTTATTGACCCCTGGGGCCTCCTCTGTGTTTGCCATCCTGCCAGGCTGGGCCTGCTGGTGTGTGGGGAATGCCTAAGCCTGAACTTGATGTACAGTGGGTGCTAGAGCCTTCTTTACCTCTGGAGCACCCACCTCTGGCCCCCATCCCCCAAACAACCACTCTCCTTGAAAGGGTTTGGTTCTTCCAGCCCAAACCCTGGGGTCTGTTTGTTTATCTTCCATGTCCTTACTGTCCTGACTTTAGGACCCTTTGCCTGTGCTGTGTTTTGAGGTTTGGTAGATTGGTTGGTTGACCCCCCAGAGGATGGGCATGAAGCCCCCATGGCCATCCCACAAACTCTTATGACTCCTGATTTTACCTTCCTGCTGTGTAGCTCTGAGCAGCCCCGTTCACTTCCCCTCCATCATCTCCTACATCCAGTGTGCCTTTGAGGGAGGGAGGAGGCTGACCCTCAGCTCGGACAGGTGAGTCACCTGGTTCCCAAGATTTATGAACTCCATGGACAGACAAGTCTGCCCCATGGGACCTGCTCCTTTCTGATCACTGTCCTGAGGGCCTGGCTTCTGGTCACTGCCTAGTCTCACTGTGCTTCTGTGTCCCCACAGCCACAAGGCCCAGTTAAAGCCAGGCGTGCTTCTGCCTGGAGCAGAGCAGAGTTTGCTGTCTGCCTGCCATTGGAAGATTGTCTGACTGCTTTCTGTGTCCCCGAAAGCTGGGGTCACAGGCCCAGTCCTGTCCCTGGCCTCTTGTGTGGTCCTCCCAGCCTGGATGGGCGTTGAGCCCTCAGCCCAGACCCCAGGGGTTTGGGACTGTCTCCAAGGCCATCCAAGCATCCCCAGTCAGAACTGGCCTCTGGACCCCATGTGGATGTCAGAGGAGAAGGAACCCCGTTCCTGGGTCAAACCCCTAGCTCGGATCCCAGACACCCGGCAGAGTCCAACTGTCAGACTCTGAAGACAGCTCCTGTCACTGGGATCCTTCCTGCCAGGAACCCAACAATAAGTCCAGCTCTCCCTGACCCCACAGAGAAAGGTAGGGGTCAGTCCTTAAGGCTGGAAGGACAGAGGGAAAACAGTCCCCAGAGAGAGAAAAATGAGTTTCTCAAGACAGCAGAGGGGTAGGACAGGTTGAGAAAGGGGTAAAAGCCACTTACCTAGGACGGTGAGCTGGGTCCCGCCTCCGAAGACAATACACAGTGACTGAGACTCGGACCAAAACCTCTGGGGTGTGCCCCCCGAGGACTGAAGCAGAGCAGGAACCTGTTGTGTGTGACTGGCAGGGCTGCAGTGGGGCGGGGCTGTGTCTTCAGGCCAGGCAGCCAGTTCCCCAGGGGCCAGAGCACATCCAGCTGGGCCCATGACCTGACACCCCCAGTGCCAGTCCCCTGTTGTGTGGAGTCCCCCAGTGACCTTGGAGTCCCCGAGTGTATGTCCTTCTCTCTCCAAAATTGTCTTGGTTCCCAGTCCTCACTGCTGGCAAATACACTGAGTGTAATATCCCCTCAGATGGTTGTGTGATGTGACAGAGTGACTCCTGTGCTGACCTGGACCTACCCTACCTCTCCTGGCTTCATTTTAGGACTTCTGAGTGTTCCTGCCCATCAGTTTCCCGTGGTCCATCCTGGTGGTTTCCTCCCTGTGCCTGTGGGCACCAGGCCATTCCTGACTCCCAGTGCTCCCACATGGAGAAGCCCTCAGCTCTATGTTTTCCTTGGAGCTTCTCTGAGCTGTCAGACCGCTGTATTTTTTCGCATCTATTTGTCCATAGTCTGTCTATCTCTCCATTCATAATCCATCCACCATCTTTCCATCCATCTGTCCTTCCATCTGGCAATGGCTTCCAAGCACTCATCTGTGCCAAGCATTGTTTTACAAGTTAGGACACGATAACACGGTCCCTGAATCTCACTCCCATCTCTCCCTGAAACCTCTCAGGTCAAGGCTAACAAGGTCTTCATGCAATTCAAGTTTGAGATCCCTCCCCACTCCCCTGACACCTCTGTACAAGGCTCCTCTTTCTGGTAACTGTCCTCCCCGGGGCATCTGAGTCTGCCCACTCCCTCTGTCCTCTGCTTGCCCTTTCTCCCTGGCCCCTACACGACTGCTACATGCCCCCCCTCCCCGCTGCCCCAGATTACCTCCCCGATTTCAGTCTCCCTGTCCGCTCCCATCCTCTCTGTCTCTGACCCATATGGTGTACTTCAGTGACTACCCAGGCATCTCCTATCCCTACTTCCAGCTCCCCCTTCTCTTCAACTCTAGACTTACACACACTCTCCCTCTCGAAAGCCCCGTAGCACTTCAAACTCAACTGGTCCCAGCTAAACTCCTCACACTTCCCTGCAAACTTGCTTTCCTCCTTCTCCATTGTCCTCACTTCCACAGATTTTTCTCCAAATCAGAAGGCTGCAGTTGTCCCAGAATCTCTTCCCCCCACTGACTCCATGACCTAGATGAATGTGCCATAACATAAAATTGCCTTTTGCATATCTAGGAAAAGATCGAGAAACATCCAACTCATAGACTAAGACTTTATGACCACAGGAATCCTCGGGCTTCACCGAATCTAATTTTACCCCCAGTATAATCTATCTACATGGGAAGAGAACCCTTGTCTTGGGGCCACCTCAACAGCACATGGTTATATTTATGTGCACACAAGATTTTTGAAACAAATTTTAACATAATAATAATATAAATTCTTGTTTTTATTTTAAAGGAAACAAATGTCCAATCTTTTATTAAGTTAGTTATCTAAGTAAAGGTCCTCAATACCACAAGGAGAATCTCTCAAAACTTATAGCAACCTTCACATTTAAAAACAAAATCTCCTTAAAGTCAGGTTGCCCATCTTGTGGTTTTTCAACCTACTCCATAGATTCTAGCCAGTAAAATGAGATGAGGGGAAAAAAGGTCGTATTAGGAAAAAAGAGAGAATATTATTCTTTGCAGTGATATCATTATCAACTTTTAAACAATCCAGAGACTAATACAAGAGTTAAATAAGACCATTGAACATAAGAGCAGCCATACAAAATCAATAGGTTTCCTTTTACATGAGCAATAACCATTTAGAATATGAAAGTGGGGGAAAATTTACAACTGTACTAAACATTATATTAAAAAAATCTCTGGGAGTAAATATGACACAAAATGATAATATCTGCATAAGTGTGATAGAAGAAACTTGTCTGAGGGTGTCTGGGGAGTGTACCGTGTTTCTGAACGAAAATACTGAGCATTGTCAGTTCTTCCTAAATTAATCTCTATCTTCCATGCAATTACAAACACAACATCCAAGAAATGATTTTCCAAGATTAGTGAACTGATTCTAATATCTAACATTAAAATAATGATAGAGAATTAACACGTATATTTTGTAAAACAGAAAGAATGACATGTTCTTTCCCTATCAGATACCAAAACATATCACAAAACTAAAATAATGAAAACAGGGTTAAACATATGGAGGGCTAGACCATTCAATATTAGAACTATAGAGGATCAGTAATTTAGTATTTGATGAAAGTTTTATTTACAGGCCCATTTTTAAAAACAATACCACCGAAAACCACACATGCTGGCGAGGACTTGATGAAAACATTCTCTTCTGGAGGGAATGCAAATTGGTCCAACTACTACAGAAAGCTGCAAAACACTAGTAATGGATCTACCACATGATCCAGCAATTTCACTCCTAGGAATCTACCCAAAGGACACAAAAACACTAATTCAAAAGGAAACCTACACCCTTATGTTTATTGTAGCAAAAGCTAAGATATGGAAATAGCTAAGATATGGAAACAACATAAATGCCCCCAAACAGATGAATGAGTCAAAAAGATGTAGTATATATACACAATGGAATACTATTCAGCAATCAAAAAAGATAAACTCAGGACATTTACGGCAACATGGATGGAGTTTGAAGGTATCGTGCTAAGTGAAATTTGTCACGAGGAAAAGATAAATATTGGATAGTTTCATTTATATATGGAATATAGAGAAACCAAACAAAGGGTGGGGAAAAAAGACAAAACTTGCAAGCTGACCATGGATCTGAGGCACACAGATGGGAGGGAGAGGGATCAAAACAGGGGAGGGAAGAAGATAAAGGAGCGGGGAGATGGATCACAGGTGCTATGGTTGTGGGACAACTACAAGGACTACCTCTCAGGGGAGAAATCAAATACTGTCCAAAAATTAACAAAGATGTAAGATAATAAATAAATTAAACAATTAAAAAATTAAAATGGCTTCAAAACTAGCAATGTAAACTTTATAGCTTGTTTCATGTAAATAGGTATATTAAACTATGTATAGTTCTCATTATAAAACATGATGCATTAACATTCAAAATGTATAGTTCTCATTATAAAACATGATGCATTAACATTCAAAATATATGTGACTCTCCATTTGGAAAATTAATAAGGTTATATTCTGATCTACACAAAACTGAACTCCAGGTGAAGTAAAAACAAACACAACACAACAATGCAGTATTGGAATGAAATCGAAAAATGATCTTGTAATAGTGCAACAAAGCTACCTTTCCTATGCCCGGCACAGACCACAGAAACCATAAAGAAGAAGTTTAACCAGTCTGACACACAAAACTAAAATTAACTTTTTAAAAAAATGCATAAAAGAGGTCAGGGAAAATGTTTACAACATATAAGTATAATTAGGGCCTCAACATCCCAAATATATGAATATTTTTTTACAGATCTACAAGAAAATGCAAGTGACCAAATAGAAACACAGACACAATTATCACCAGTAAATTCACAAAAGACATAAAATCGGTCAGTAAAAATATGAAAGGAAAACAAGTTTTACCCATGATCAAATAATTCAACAACAAACATACTCTCACTTTTGTCCATCAGACAGGCAAAACACGTAAAGATCAATATCACATTATTTGAGGATGGAGAAGAAAGGGCACTGTCATTTACTATAGTTCGTGTTCACTTGGAACAGTCTTTTGGGGGGTACGACTGGGAAATATCTGTGAAAATTTCAAAAGCGCTTTCTGATCCAGCAATTCCACTTTTAGGCCTCTGCTTACAGAGAGACAAAATTGCACTTTACACATGCACACTCAACACACGTGCGGGGATCTCCACTACAGCATCATTTCTATCAATAGTTCCTATTTTTAAATGGAAACAACCTAAGTGCCATTAATAGTGATTAAGGGGAGTGATTAAATACATTCTGGCTCATTTGAACCTCCATGTCTTACAAAGGCATTATGAGAACATGGACCAATAGAGAAAATGTCCATAGCAGGTTGTTTCAAATGCCAGTTGCAGGCTGCAATGCAGATGGCATTGCTCCATTATTGAAAACTATGGAAAAATATTATTTTGAGATATAAACTAGAAATATATACAGTACATATTAAATATGTATTTGATTTTATATATTATATAAATAGAATCCATATGAATTATTTTGAAAAATAAAATCCCAACACCAGTGAGGTGGGTGTGCACTTTCAGGGACTTAGACCCACAAGAGAATGTCTGGAAGTGTAGAAACCCACCGGACAAGGGGTTTCAAGTGAGAGGCGGGAGGATGATAAGCTCTTTACTTGGTATACTTCTGTGCTTAATCTTGTATTAAAATATTATTTATCTTGATGACTGTATACAAGTAAAATACAAGTATTTTTAAATATATAAAATACAAGTATTTTACTCTTGTATTAAAAGTTAGTTTACAGTTAAACTGAATATATGAAAATGAAATCTATCTTTTTGTGAACACCTTCCCCACTACAGAAAATTATAAAGCAAAAATTAGGTGAAATCCCTCCAGCTAGCAACACACCATTGACATTTTGCTGATAGACTTTTGAAAACGCACATGTACTTAAAAAACACAGTTTTGGAAACATGATCTTGGCATTTGTGTAGGATTCCTTATGGTGGAAGTTCCCTTTCATATTCAGTTATACCCTTCTCCTGGGTATTCAGGTTGTTTCCAGTTTTCTCTCATGGTTAATAATGTGGTGCTAATCTTTCTTGTTTGTGACCCTTTCATTACATCTTTCATTATTTTTTTCTCTCAGCATAGGCCCCACAAGTGGAATTACACAAATTAAATAAATTCGCTTTTTTTATGACTGGTCTTCGTATTGCTGAAATGGGTGTACGTTTGCCTGGTATCCACAGTGCATGAGAGTGCCCATTTCTCCCGATCAACCCTCTGGTATCATCACTTTCAATCCACTTGCCAATTTCATAGGAGATTTTGGTACCTGATCTCAGTGTGAACAGGTCCCTCCCTCATCCTGGGGGTGCAGGCTCTGGCTAGAGCCCTTTCTAGCTCTTCCAATTTGACTTCACACCAGTCTCACATCCGAAGACATTTTTCTAAAACACGAATTGTATTCTGACAGTCCCCTACTTAAATCCCCCAACAACTCCTTGCACCCCAGCACAAAGGATGGGCAAAAGATGACCTTCTACCCCTGTCTGTACCCCCTCATCCCTAACTCCCTCCTGCACCCGTGCCCCTTGCTCTCCTCTCAGTCCAGCTTGTTCCCTTTGCCTGGAGTCCCCCCATTACTGGGAGCACCCTTCACCCCTCTGCCTGTAAAGCCAGGTTGGGCCTCCCTTCTCCCATACCTCACTGTCTCTAAAATGGGCCCTGGGTCTGTTCCCACGACTAGACATGTCTCCTCTGGTTTACATCCCCATCCTGCACCCCTAGGCCTGATTCTATAACCATCTAAAAATGAGCTGAGGAGTTGGTGTTTTGGGGGGAGACCAAGCCAAGTCCTTCTTCCTATTTCTGGGTGGCTTGCAGACCACTTCTCTCTTGGGTCATTTTGTTAAAACAGTGCATGCTGATGGGTGCTGAGACTATACCCACATGCTGTGTTGGGCAGATTGCCTGACTTCCTGGGCCTCTTATCTCATCTGTAAGGTGGGGATGACATTGGGACCTGCCTTGTGGCCCCACTGAGAGGGAAGATCTGCCATTAAAACTATTAGTGCCTGCTGGGTACATCCTACCCCTGCAGCCCTCTTTCTGTCCGACTCAGAGAGCCAAGGTGAGGTGGGTGAGTCACAAGCATTAGGCACAAAATTTTAGAGGTGCCAAAAACTCAGTCATCAAGATAAATAATATTTTAATACAATAGTAAAAAATTAAAATCAATGCAAACCAATCCTGGCTGGACAAAATGTCAACACTTTACATGAATTCAGTATCTGCCCAGGTCCCTGCTTTCGGGGCTCATTTCTCTTTCTCCCCCTTCTTCCCCTCCCCACTGCTATCCCTTCAGGTTCCTGCATCAAAAAACTCAGCATTGTCTCCCCATGATTGTCACGACTCCTTACCTGCATCACTGGCTCCGCAGGCTGGATGGCGGCTTCCTAGACCAGCTGTGGTTCCCTGGGCTCTGCTTCCCGTCACTGCTCCTGGGGCCTCACAGTCCACCTGGCCTGGACTGAGCCTCATCAGCATTTAGGGTCAGAGCCGCTGAATCAAGCCAGTTTGCTACATGGGGTCCCTGAAGGGGAGGGTTGGCAAGTGCCACAGGCCCATGTGGCTCCATCCGCTGCATGGACCTTCTCTGGTTGCTGCCCCCAGTGCCGGACCCTTCAGGGTGCATAGTGGTTACCCCTGGAAATCTCTCAGAATGGCATCTGCCAACAGCTGCTGGCTCCACCCCTGGGACCTGGGCGGGGCACACCTGCTCCGGCCCATTCCCTGAGGGCGGGTCTGGGTCTGTGGTGCATCTCTCTGGGGGAGGGGAAGTGTGGAGGGGGGCCTGCAGGGCCTCCGGGTGCCCAGTGGATCAGAAGTCACCAAGGTCTGATTTCCTTGAGGTGGAGCTAGGGCTTCTCTTTTCACCAGTCCCCTAGACTGCACCCCAGCACACTCCACTTCAGCAAGTTGAGACAGAACTTCTTCGCTGGATTGGCCAAACCTGGCCAGTGCCCCTGGTCATCTCCTGGCTCAGCTTTCAGCCAGGCAAGGGCCCTGCCAGGAATGATGCTGTACCCCCCACTTGAGGAGTTACGTCAAGCTAATGAATTTTGGAGACATTCAAACCTCAGTTTCTTTATCTGTCAAACTGAGAGAGCTCCTTTGCCGCAGGGAGGTGCCGGGCATGAATGGCTTTAGCACATACAGGTGGTGAACAAGCACCTGCCCCCTTACTACCCTTTTACTTTTCCCTTCAGAACAACCCCTTGGCATGGGGCAGGGGTCCCTCTTTTCCAAATGAGAAAACCGAGGTCCAAGGACAATAGGCCAGGGCTCAAGATCATTCCTGGAGTGGGGTGAAGGGTGAGCTCAAATCTAGGAATGAACTTGCCTTCTGCATTTCTAGACCCCTGCCCACCTGGAAGGCAGTGCTTTGCTCACAAGATTTGAGTCGTGTTGAATAGAGGTGCAGGGGCCACAAGCTGTACAGGTGTTTTAGGTTGAGGTCTGTTTCAAAGCTCAGGATTATAACATCAAATAGTGATGAGCGTGATGCTGTTTAGTGCTGACACCGGGAGGGAGTGGCAGCAGCTGAGCTAAGATTGTCTCCCCCACCTGAAGATGAGGACT